ATTTCTTTTGCAATGGCATTTTCGAGAATTTTAAACCCCTACTTCTTTCATATATGTCAAATCTGTATCCTTAACAAGTAGTGTAATACAATTGCTTTGTTTAGAAAAAATTCCTTTCCGTATTAACAATACATGTATAAAGTCAGCTTTACATACTGATAGTTATTAGTATGCGTCTCTTGAGTTTTGAAAATTATCACGTTAGATATACAAATATCATTATGTTTTAGCGGCAGTGCGAAGGTAAGTAATTTAGACATCTTACGATAAGGATACGGATGGGAAAAAGAACTTTTGTACAATTTAGTACAAAAAGGCAATCTCTACTATGTATTACTACTGAAGATAAAAACTATCGTTATCATAAAAATTTGTATGAAACTGATTGCTTCCAAAAATGCCATTCATCCATTAAAGTATTTAATAAAGCTAAAATATAACTGCAGCCATTATGGAACAACGTCATTTATTAATAATATATATCTATTATCTATATTAAATATATATATATATATGTATATATATATATATATATATATATATACATATATATATATATATTTAATATAGATAATAGTTATATATTATTAATAAATGACGTTGTTCCATAATGGCTGCAGTTATATTTTAGCTTTATTAAATACTTTAATGGATGAATGGCATTTTTGGAAGCAATCAGTTTCATACAAATTTTTATGATAACGATAGTTTTTATCTTCAGTAGTAATACATAGTAGAGATTGCCTTTTTGTACTAAATTGTACAAAAGTTCTTTTTCCCATCCGTATCCTTATCGTAAGATGTCTAAATTACTTACCTTCGCACTGCCGCTAAAACATAATGATATTTGTATATCTAACGTGATAATTTTCAAAACTCAAGAGACGCATACTAATAACTATCAGTATGTAAAGCTGACTTTATACATGTATTGTTAATACGGAAAGGAATTTTTTCTAAACAAAGCAATTGTATTACACTACTTGTTAAGGATACAGATTTGACATATATGAAAGAAGTAGGGGTTTAAAATTCTCGAAAATGCCATTGCAAAAGAAATTTTTAAGAGCGAGGCGAGTGTATACAATTTAAAAGTATTCATTGCACATTTCATACACCATGCCTTAAGAAAAAAGACGAAATATGATTACATTATCGCGAATCAATGAGATGTGTATTATCACACATAGGAAAAAAATTGAATTATTTTCTTTTCGTGAATTATTTTGCATTTACAATATGATCCCCTACATCCGTGGTAATAAGTGTATTTGCAACAGATGTAGGTTGTCAATTGTTCAAGGCCTATTAAAAGAGAAAAAGGAAAAAGTGTCCTAGACAATATATGTAAAATGTTAAATGGAAAAGCATATGTAATATTGGCTTGTTATAGATTGCCATTAGAACTATATTGTATACAAGCGTAATTATTATCTCACATATTTACACGATATTTTTCTTTGTCGAGTGAATACAATCAGAATGTAGATCAATTGCATTTTGTGCGCCATCGATCGGTGTTTGCTATTTCGACATAGGCAAAAGATACCTGCCATAAAAAGGAATATATATCAGATATTTATACGCAAGCAGTGAAAGGTATGCAACACAATGCATACATTGCATTGCGACTTCGGCTAGCAGCAATTCATTTGGTACTGCGAAATTTCAGAAACTTTAGGACCAATATTGTTAATCCCATGTGCTATGTACAGTGTTGTTAGGCTAATATGAAACATTATTTTCTAGCTCAAACCCATGTATTCTAATCGTTAATTTAGTCGGCATTAAAGTTCATTATTGTCATATTACACATGCGGATATATACGCCCTCGATCCTCTTTATCTTCGTGTAAAATTTGTACTTTCATAGGTAGAGATTTCTAACGATTATAGATAAATTTATTCAGTGTTTGGCGTTAGGAAGTAACATAGCGTTTACATACATTAAAGACTAAAATAATAATGATAGGAGATATCGTCACGAGGTCAGCGGCGTAAAGGAGTTATCGTATGTGGAAGTATTTACACCATTGCGCATGTAAGACTTCATTTACATTACATGAATTTTATTTTTCAGTTTTATTGATTTAAGAATTTACCGCTATGAGACGTCGAGTGATTACGGTAAAAGTAGTGCGAGTGCTTCTAATAAATTTGAATTTGCTTTTACCGCACCTCGACTAGCATCGGGCTTCTGAAACAAGCTACGCTAACTTGTTTACAGAAACTAAAAATATTTATTAATTATGGAAAGA